GAGGTTCACCTGTGTCTGTCACACTGAAACGCTCATAGATGTGAATCAGCCCCATAGGGAATAATTGGATTTCTACTTGACATGCATTTCCATGCATCGAAAAATGGAAGAGTGTTGCTGCATTAAAAACCACTTTCTGTCTATTTTTGACCTGTATTGTAAACTGATCCCTGGAGCTCTTCTTTCCTACTACCTGGATCTATTAAATCAGTGAAACGGGATATCTTGAGACACCTGGTGGCCGCTGTCCGGGCAGTTATCCCCCGCCACTGGAAGTCCACTTCTGTACCCTCCTTAGGTGAATGGGTTACCGAACTGGACTATTTATGACCTTGCACGCCTGTTGGCGTAGGAATCGGAGAAAATGGATCTACTTCTCTTCTATCTGGACCCCTTGGACCTTGTTCTGGTACTCTACGGAATTCCAATCCTGGGTTGCCAGTGGTGCTGACCCCTCTCTGGTGTAGCCATGGTGGAGCAGGTATCCCCCGACATTGGAAGTCCACTTCTGTACCCTCTTTAGGTGAATGGGTTACCGAAATGGACTCTATTTATGACCTTGCACGCCTGTTGGCGTAGGAATCGGAGAAAATGGATCTACTTCTCTTCTATCTGGACCCCTTGGACCTTGTTCTGGTACTCTATGGAATTCCAATCCTGGGTTGCCAGTGGTGCTGACCCCTCTCTGGTGTAGCCATGGTGGAGCAGGTATCCCCCGCCACTGGAAGTCCACTTCTGTACCCTCTTTAGGTGAATGGGTTACCGAAATGGACTCTATTTATGACCTTGAACGCCTGTTGGCGTAGGAATTGGAGAAAATTGATCTGTTTCTCTTCTACCTGGACCCCTTGGACCATGATCCGCTACTTTACGGAATTCCAATCCTGGGTTGCCAGTGGTGCTGACCCCTCTCTGGTGTAGCCATGGTGGAGCAGGTATCCCCCACCACTGGAAGTCCACTTCTGTACCCCCCTTAGGTGAATAAGTTACCGAACTGGACTCTATTTATGACCTTGAACACCTGTTGGCGTAGGAATCGGAGAAAATGGATCTACTTCTCTTCTATCTGGACCCCTTGGACCTTGTTCTGGTACTCTACGGAATTCCAATCCTGGGTTGCCAGTGGTGCTGACCCCTCTCTGGTGTAGCCATGGTGGAGCAGGTATCCCCCGCCACTGGAAGTCCACTTTTGTACCCTCCTTAGGTGAATGGGTTACCGAACTGGACTCTATGAATGAATGCGGGGTCCGGGGAGATCGGATATCGTGAATGCGGGGTCCGGGGAGAGCGGATATAGTGAATGCGGGGTCCGGAGAGAGCAGATATAGTGAATGCGGGGTCCGGAGAGAGCGGATATAGTGAATGCGGGTCCCGGGGAGAGCGGATATAGTGAATGCGGGGTCCGGGGAGAGCGGATATAGTGAATGCGGGGTCCGGGGAGAGCGGATATAGTGAATGCGGGGTCCGGGGAGAGCGGATATAGTGAATGCGGGGTCCGGGGAGAGCGGATAGAGTAAATGCGGGGTTCGGGGAGAGCGGATATAGTAAATGCGGGGTCCGGGGAGAGCGGATATAGTGAATGCGGGGTCCGGGGAGATCGGATATAGTGAATGCGGGGTCCAGGGGAGGGGATATAGTGAATGCGGGGTCCGGAGAGAGCGGGTATAGTGAATGCGGGGTCCGGAGAGAGCGGAAATAGTGAATGCGGGGTCCCGGGAGAGCGGATATAGTGAATGCGGGGTCCGGGGAGAGCGGATATAGTGAATGCGGGGTCCGGGGAGAGCGGATATAGTGAATGCGGGGTCCGGGGAGAGCGGATATAGTGAATGCGGGGTCCGGGGAGAGCAGATATAGTGAATGCAGGGTCTGGGGAGAGCGGATATAGTGAATGCAGGGTCCAGGGAGAGCGAATATAGTGAATGCAGGGTCCAGGGAGAGCGGATATATAGTGAATGCAGGGTCCAGGGAGAGCGGATATAGTGAATGGGGGTCCTGGGAGAGCGGATATAGTGAATGGGGGGTCCGGGGAGAGCGGATATAGTGAATGCGGGGTCCGGGGAGAGCAGATATAGTGAATGCGGGGTCCTGGGAGAGCGGATATAGTGAATGGGGGGTCCGGGGAGAGCGGATATAGTGAATGCGGGGTCCGGGAGAGAGCAGATATAGTGAATGCGGGGTCCTGGGAGAGCGGATATAGTGAATGGGGGGTCCGGGGAGAGCGGATATAGTGAATGTGGGGTCCGGGGAGAGCGGATATAGTGAATGCGGGGTCCAGGGAGAGCGGATATAGTGAATGCGGGTTCCGGGGAGAGCGGATATAGTGAATGCGGGGTCCGGGGAGAGCGGATATAGTGAATGTGGGGTCCGGGGAGAGCGGATATAGTGAATGCGGGGTCCGGGGGGAGAGCGGATATAGTGAATGTGGGGTCCGGAAAAACCTCCCCAAAATGCAGCCTTTACAAATTTTTTTTTTAATGCTCTGCACATCAATGCATTGGTGAGAATGGACCCGGCTGTCAATTATTTTCCTTCCATGGATCACGTCCATGGGGTCCCCACACACACAGCTCTGGGTTGCATAAAACTGTATAATCAATGTTGTTTCCAGCGCTTAGGTCGACCGCCTTAGTTATACATGACGCCCCTGAACTTTACTCCCAATGTCCTCGTGTCCTGACTGTCCTGAGAGTAAACAATTCCTAAGAGCAATAGCCGGGCTGCCACTGCGGACCTCCTGCTTAAAAGGCTAGTTGCCTGGCTAATATGCTGACCCTCAGCTTCTGCACTTTCTAAGGCTCCGTTCACACCTATGCAGTTTGCGTTCGATCGTTTCTGCAGTGATCTTTGCTGTGCGTTTTGTGTTTTTTACTTGTTTTTGATGCATTTTGCATTTTTTTCTGGGTTTTTTTCTAATAAAAATCCATCAAAAATGCATCTAAAACACACTACATGCTTTTCTGCAGCATCTCCATTGAAGTCGCTTTGCGTCTGCGTTGCGTTTAAAATCTGCCTAGCAACAAGAAATGTTTTTTGGTTTTTTTCAAAAACGCAAAATACATCAAAAAAGGGAAAGGGGCAGGGACTTATTTTTAAACACAAAACGTTGCGTTTTTGGTTCAATAGACTTCAATGGAGACGCTGCAGAAAGGCATGTAGTGCGTTTTTGCCGCGTTTTTGATGCGTTTTGCAATTTAAATCTGCCTAGACACAAGAAAAAATTTTTTAAAAATGAAAAAAAAAAAAAAAAAAAGCAAAACGCATCAAAAACGAAACGCAAAACGCAATGCAGAAATGGCTCAAATGCAACCTGCATAGGTTCACACGTATGAAGGTTTCAGGCATATCTGCATTGCGTTTTGTGATGCGTTTTGCAGGGGTGTTTTTTTTTTTTTTTTTCTTGTGTCTTGGCAGATTTAAAATGCAAAACGCATCAAAAACGCAACAAAAATGCAATACACGCTTTTCTGCAGCATCTCCATTGAAGTCTATTGAACCAAAAACGCAACTTTTTTTCGTTTAAAAAAGTCCCTTTCCAATAAACGCACCGGGTGAAAAGGCGGAGATGTGAACGTGTCCCATAGGAAATCATGTTATATGGACTGTAGTGCGTTTCTGCAAAACGCAGCGGAAAACACTTAGGTGTGAACCTAGACTAGTACAGGCCATGGGTCAAGTTCTGAATGAATTTTCGTGCATTTTGTAATCTGATGGCGCCACCATTGATTTCGAAATTCGACCAACCGAGCCTTCAATTTCAGATGTTCCTACAGAAAAGAATTTTCATGGCCAAGAATTTTCTTTTCTTTCCCGGTCACGGCTCACGCTCATTACTTTTTCGATTATATTTCTCGCACGACTCTCCCATCATTGATTAGAAATTCGTTCGTTTTTCAAACAATTTCCAACATGGCCCAATCACTCAAATTTGATGGTCGCTCAAAAATCAGCCTTTGCTGTGGCCCCGCTAATGGTGCAAAATTCAAACAAAAATTCTTGGAAAAGATTTTCAAAAGAAAATTCTTTTGTAATTCGACCCGCGTATGGCTTAATGCAGGGCATACATGGGCCGAAATCCAAACAAAGTTTCTTTCGAAAATCTGAATTTTCATGCGTTTTGTAATCTGATGGCGCCACCATTGATTTTGAAATTGGACCAACCGAGCCTTTCATTTCGCCTCAGGTTGCTACAGAAAAGAGTTTTCGTGGCCAATAATTTTCTTTTGTTTCCAGGTCGCGGCTCATTTCATTTTCGAATATATTTGTCGCACGATTCTCCCATCATTGATTAGAAATTCGTTCATTGTTTCAAAAAATTTCAACATGCCCGATCACTCAAATTCAACGGCCGCTCGAAAATCGGCTGTTGCTATGGCCCCACTAATGCTGTGAAATTCAAATGAATACACGGGTCGAATTCCAAACTAATTTTTATTAGAAAATCGGACATTTATTGCATTTTGTAATCCGATGGCGCCTCCATTGATTTCAAAATTGAGCCAACCAAGCCTTCAATTCCTCCTCGTGTTGCTACAGAAAAGAATTTTCGTGGCCAAGAATTTTCTTTTCTTTTCAGGTCACAGCTTTATATTTCTCACACGATTCTCCCATCATGGATTCGAAATTTGTTCGTTTTTCCAAAAATTTCCAACATGCCCGATCACTCAAACACGAGGGGGGGGGGGGGTCAATTACTGGAACCGATCCCCTGGATAAATCTCTCTGCAGCAGCTGAAAGCCAGTAGGAGGGAGAGGAGAAGAAGCCGGCTTTCAGCTGCTGCAGAGAGATTTATCCAGGGGATCGGTTCCAGTAATTGACCCCCCCCCCTCATGCAGATCACCCTCCCTGGCCACATTCAATTCACCCAGCTGCCTGGGCCCCCCTGCTGGCCTGGGCCCCATACAGGAGGACTGGTGGTAGCCCCTTATCCACGGCCCTGCCTGCAACAGTTCAGGAGCCAGGCAACAAGCATTTATTATTTGTTAGTCAAGTCCATCTATATCTGCTAGTCCATCTAACGCTCCCCTCCCCCCCAGCCTGACAATGCTACTGCCCAAAGGTGTCTCCGTTGTTCTTCCATCCAGAATAGAGACACCCTAAGAGTCAGCTCACACCATGCGCTTCTTTATGTGCATTTTTGACACGTTTTTAATGCATTCTGGTGTGTTTTTGATGCGTTCCAGTTCATTTTTTCCTCCTTTCTTTTTCTTCCACCTAACCACTTCCTGTCCGGACACTTTCCCCCCCTTCCAGTCCAGACACTTTCCCCCCCTTCCAGTCCGGACACTTTCCCCCCCTTCCAGTCCAGACACTTTCCCCCTTTCCAGTCCGGACACTTTCCCCCCCTTCCAGTCCAGACACTTTCCCCCTTTCCAGTCCGGACACTTTCACCCCTTCCAGTCCGGACACTTTCCCCCCCTTCCAGTCCGGACACTTTCACCCCCTTCCTGTCCGGACACTTTTCCCCCCCTTCCAGTCTAGGGAAATTTTCAGCTTTCAGCGCTATCACACTTTGAATAACAATTGCGCGGTCATGCAACACTGTACCCATATGAATTTTTTACCATTTTTTTGAGACAAATAAAGCTTTATTTTGGTGGTATTTATTCACCGCTGGGATTTTAATTTTTTTTTGCTATGTAAATGAAAATGTCCAAAAATTTTGAAAAAAAGTGTTTTTTTTTTATATGCAAAAATATTTTGCATATAAATAATCTTTCATCATAAATCTTGGCCAAAATGTATTCTGTTATCTTTTTAGTAAAAAAAGGCAAATTAGTTTATAACCATAATTATAATTTTTAAACTTTTTTTTACATTTTTATTTTATTTTTTTATATTATTATTTATGTTTTTGTTGGTTTTTTTTTTACATACTGTCACCCTAGCAGTACAGTGTCACCATGGTGACACTGTACTACTTGTGGGGGTGATGATTTTTTTTTTTTTTTTTACATTGATTGCTTTTACACCCATAAAGGCTGTAAAAGCAATCATTTCTCCTTCTCTCTGGCTGCATTCTTGCAGCCATTGAGAACTACTGAGTGAGCTGTGATTGGTCACAGCTTGTCACATGGTACAAGGCTGTTGTGAATAGCCTTGTACCATGGGATCTCTGTGATCATTCACAGATTTCACACGTAGTAAGCAATGATGTCACAAGTGACATCTTGCTTACTACTTTGCATGTGATCACTGATTGGCCAATCAGGGATCACATGATCTGGACCTCGTACAGAGGTCCCGTCCGACGATCGGTGTTTCACTGTGTCTGGAGGACACAGCGGGCACCGGATCGCGGCGCTGCGCTCTCCCAGGGAGCGCGCACAGCTAGAAAGGGCGGGTGCTGTTTATGAATAGCAACCCGCCCCTGGAGTGCCACCGTCCTGCCGTTTATAAACAGCAGGCGGACGGCAAGTGGTTAATAAGGACACGTGCGTTCCGGTGCATGTTTGGTGCATTTAGGTGCATTCCGGTGCATTTTTGATACGTTTTACTGCGTTACAGCACAGTTCAGTGCAGAAAAAATGCAGCCTGTTCTACTTTTTTTCTGGAACTATGCCATTCAATACCACGTCACCTACTATCAATGAGATTTTGAGCAGAAAAAAAACACACTGGATCAAGGGCGGACTGACCATTTGGAAACTCGGGCACTGCCCGAGGTCAGTAGGGGGCCCCATGAGATGCCCCTGGTACCTTTTTCATAGGCTTTTTTGAGTTTGGGCAAGGACACAGGGGCCCCATGATCCCCTATTGCCCGGGGGGCCCATGAGTTGTCAGTCCACCCCTGCACTGGATTGCATGTGGTGTAAATTGGCCCTAAGACAGGAAGTGTGTTACTGGCAGGATCACCAGGCGAAAAAAAACAAATGCAGCTGCTGCAGGGTATTTGCGTACATCGCATATTGCAAGTCTCAGGAAAGTCAGAGGAAAGTCGATATCTGCATCCTTTTTTTTTTTTTTTTTGGGTTGAGACTCAGAGTCCTGAGGCAGGAAGACAGACGTGACAGCCAGGCAAGTGGCATTTGCAGAATGCGAAGACAGCAATGGTGGATTCAATGTTTCAGTAGAGATAAGCAAATCAGCCCTTATAACAAAATGGGATCATTTTGTGGCTCACAAGTTCTCATAGTGGCCATACAGGCTTTGATTTTTTTTTTCTATCCAAGGGATTCGATAGATGGATCAAACCAATTAAATCGATTAAACCAAACAATCGAGTAGTCATATCTCTCCTTTTGATCGATTTAGACTGAATTTTAAATGGATTCGATGTGAGACTGTCGGCCAAGGTGCTTGTTTTGCCTCGATTTGGCATCCCTGTGATGCTTTCTTTTTAAATGCGATCGCCTTTTGATCAATTAGATTTTGAGATGACAGGATGACAGGATGGAAACAGAGATGCGATCAATAACTTACGAATGTAATTCACGATCATGTCTTAACTGTAGATCTGAATCCACTTTCCTGTGTGTGGCATACGGATGGAATGGGTTGTCGACTATAGATCGAATTCTCCCTAATGGAAAAGATTGACCGGAAAAGAAAACGATCCTTTAAGAAAACGTGCATGACCTCCAATAGATTTGGTGGCTGAATTTGTTTTCTTTTTTCCCCCTTTATTTTATTCAGGTAATCCTGCCTTTAACTTTCTTCTTGTTTTAGGGTAACAACCTTACTGCAGGGCTGTCTTAATGCATGGGCACCCCTGGCACTTCCCAGGGGACCCAAGTGCATAGGGGCCCCATGTTAATCTTGCACCACATCATACTTACCAGCTGCCCCGGATTTGTCGGGACAGTCACGCTTTTTACTAAGCTGTCTCGGGATGGCCCAGGCAGCATCACAGAATCTATACTGTGCCCTCCTGATCTCAGTATTGTGCCCTCCTGCCTCCCACTGTACTGTGCCCCCCTGACTCCCCCCGTACTGTGCCCCCCTGACTCCCCCCGTACTGTGCCCATCTGACTCCTCCCCCTGCCCTCCTGACTCCCCCTGTACTGTGCCCCCCTGACTCCCCCCGTACTGTGCCCATCTGACTCCCCCTGTACTGTGCCCTCCTGACTCCCCCTGTACTGTGCCCTCCTGACTCCCCCCTGTACTGTGCCCTCCTGACTCCCCCCTGTACTGTGCACCCTGACTCCCCCCTGTACTGTGCACTCCTGACTCCCCCCTGTACTGTGCCCTCCTGCCTCCCCATGTACTGTGCCCACCTGACTTCCCCTGTACTGTGCCCTCCTCCCTCCCCCCTGTACTGTGCCCTCCTGACTCCCCCTGTACTGTGCCCTCCTGACTCCCCCTGTACTGTGCCCTCCTTACTCCCCCTGTACTGTACCCTCCTGACTGTACTGCCCTCCCTGTGACTCCCCCTGTACTGTGCCCTCCTGACTCCCCCCTGTACTGTGCCCTCCTGCCTCCCCCTGTACTGTGCCCTCCCCCATGTACTGTGCCCACCCTTCCCCCTGTACTGTACCCTCCTGACTCCCCCCTGTACTGTGCCCTCCTGACTGTGCCCTCCTTACTCCCCCTGTACTGTGCCCTCCTTACTCCCCCTGTACTGTACCCTCCTGTGTACTGTGCCCTCCTGATCCCCTGTATTGTGCCCCCTCCTACTCCCCCTGTACTGTGCCCTCCCTGACTCCCCCTGTACTGTGCCCTCCTTACTCCCCCCTGTACTGTGCCTCCCGACTCCCCCTTGTACTGTGCCCACCTGACTCCCCTGTACTGTGCCCTCCCTCCCCCTGTACTGTGCCCTCCCTCCCCCTGTACTGTGCCCCTCCTGACTCCCCCTGTACTGTGCCCTCCTGACTCCCCCTGTACTGTGCCCTCCTGACTCCCCCTGTACTGTGCCCCCTCCTGACCCCCCTGTACTGTGCCCTCCTGACTCCCCCTGTACTGTGCCCTCCTGCCCTCCTGACTCCCCCCCTGTACTGTGCCCTCCTGACTCCCCCTGTACTGTGCCCCTCCTGACCCCCCTGTACTGTGCCCTCCTGACTCCCCCCTGTACTGTGCCCCCCCTGACTCCCCCTGTACTGTGCCCTCCTGTACTGTGCCCTCCTGACTCCCCCTGTACTGTGCCCTCCTGACTCCCCTGTACTATGCCCTCCTGACTCCCCCTGTACTGTGCCCTCCTGCTCTCCCCCTGTACTGTGCCCTCCTGACTCCCCCTGTACTGTGCCCCCCTGACTCTCCCTGTACTGTGCCCTCCTGACTCCCCCTGTACTGTGCCCTCCTGACTCCCCCTGTACTGTGCCCTCCTGACTCCCCCTGTACTGTGCCCTTTGTGTTGATTAGTATTGTATGTTTTGTTAATGCAAGTACTAATAAATACGTCTCATTGTACCAACTATTTATACTTTACTCCTTGAGAGTAGGTACATAAATTAGGGAAGGCTGGTAGGTGCCCCAGTGCACTACTTTTCCCAGGAGCCCAGGATGCTATTAGGACGGCCCTGGATTACTGAGCAACGTAGAAACAGCGAGTGTGTTAGGACTACACAACACCTCTCTCTCTTCTCCATAACAGGGGGAGGTGTTTTGTAACCCATGAAGGTAGCAGGGAACAATGCTAGCTGATAACAGTCCAGAGGCAGAGGGCTCAGGGAGATGTCAGCTCACAAGATTTCTGGCTACTTTTTGTTTGCACTTGTCACCACCAAAAGAAAGCTCTATCTGTCTCAAAAAATTATAAAAATGTAGTACACATATCAGTGGCATTCGCGCCGCACCGGGTGACACCTACCGCACGGGGTGACACCGGACCCACTCCGCGAAAAGGTAAGTTGTAAAGCAAGCAGACGATCCCTGCAGAATGGATCGGATCTGCGGATTGGGAGCATAATGGATCAAATTCTGAGCCATTATGCTCAATCCACAGATCTGATCCATCCTGCGGGGATCGTCGGCATGCAACCTATACGGGGTGACACCAGATCCGTTCCACGAAAAGGTGAGTTGTAAAGAAAGTTCATGATCCCTGCAGGATAGATTGGATCTGTGGATTGGGGAGCATAATGGATCGGATTCCGATCCATTATGCTCAATCCGCAGATCCCATTCATCCTGCGGGCATCATCAGAGGGGGTGTCACCAAGTGTTACTGCACCAGGTGACACCAACCCTAGGGACGCCCCTGACAGAACACTTTCAATGTGATATCTAACAGACCAAAAGGGAGGACAGCACAGTGGCTAAATGGTTAGCACTCCCACCTGGCAGCACCGGGGTCATTGGTTTAAATCCCAACCACAGCACCATCTACCTAGAGTTTGAATGTTTTCCCTGTGCCTGCGTGGGCTTCCTCCGGGTACTCCGGTTTCCTCCCACACTCCAAAGACATGCTGATAGGCTAATTGGCTCCTGTCTAAATTGTCCCTAGTATGTGTATATGAATGTGAGTTAGGGACCTTAGATTGTACGCCCCTTGAGGGTTAGGGACTGATGTGAATGTACAATATATATGTAAATTGATGGCACTATATAAGTACCTGTAATAGA